GAAAGTATCTTTTAAGAAGCTACCTGATTATCTCGGGTTTAGATCACATACAGGATTTGTTTTTCACTTTTTTGACTATCTAGTGAGGTGTATATCCCACACCGCTGTGGCTGCTCTGTGCACTCGTCTTCTTTCTTTGTTATTCGGAGCTTCCTGGTGCAGTGGTGTCATGTCCAAGAGCTGGCAGCAGCAGCAAGCCACCGGTTCTTTGTTCAGTACAACAGAAAAACAATGCAGGTAATGAAATGTTTGTAAAGTCGATCAGCCTGCATCACATCTCATCTGCAGGGAGCTGAGTTTTCTCTCCTTTGATAAGTTTGGAAACTGTAAAACTGAATGTGGATCCAGTTTGGTGGCTTTTTATAATAATATGATATCATCCCTTTAAAATCAATCAAATCTGCAAAAAGTTTCAGCAGCCCCCCTCAGAATCAGCTGATTGTTAATGTGCAATAACTTTGGTGTATTTAATGGAGCCATGCAAAGTTTTCAAATATGTTTGGAGCCGCATTTCCCTATTTTTTTGGGTTTTTTTTTTTGATTCTTCTGATTTTACACAGAATGTCCCGGGTTTTCCAACTTTTGTCAAGCATCAAAATGTTAAAAATGCAGGTTTTATGATTGGAAATGGCGAAAAAAGTACGTTAACTGGTAGGTGGATATTGTGGTTGGGGCAGGGCTGCAGACTGCAACCACAATAGCAGAATATGTGACTGTGTTTTAAGGGTGCGAGTTGAAATTTCAGTTGGTTTTGGTGCACCTCCTGCTCACTGTATTAATCATTCTGGTTGAAAGCTGTACTAGCTCAATCAATCTGTCCCTACCTGATCTGTGAAACAAGTCATTCAAGTGTTACCGTATCCCAAAGACGAAGCGATCTGTTGCTGATTATCTTAAATAAACAAAAAGAGCAGCGAGTGGAGGAGGTCCCGACTCAGACACACCTGATAATAAAAGGAAGTTAGTGACTGAACCAGTGAAGAAGAAAAAGTACTACATTCAGTCACAGCACAGTGCCAGGGCTGTAAAATAAGTGACACTGACGTTGAAAATGCTCACAGCCCACGTTGATGAATCCATCCAGTGGAGAAGCTGGTCAGAGCTGACGTTGGTTGAAGCGTTGACAGCAGGATTAGCTGAGCGCCTCCTACAAAGCCTGTGTTCAAACTCTTGTGTCCAACATACATGCAGAAGTGTGTCAGTGCATGCAGGTATCAGTGTGATCGATTATTGAGATGCTGCCCAAAGCCTCAGATGAGGTGAGAGATTAGAGCTGTGACTGAACAAGTAGCAGGAATCCCCACTTCCCTTAGTATGATCAGCACATGTAAAATAAATCTGAATGTTAAGGGGTTTTTGTATGTGTTGGTAAAATTTTGTAGATAAACAGGCTCAGGGAAATGTAAATTTGGATGAGCCGGTGACATTAGGCCTTGGAGCAGTTGTCTGTAGCTTAGCATATGTATTAGCTTGTTTCTGTTCAGTAAACACATGCAGTCATTATTAATTAACTCCCTTGTTCTGGGTGGATGTGCAGATGGAAATGCAGCAAACATGGCCAGTCAACATGAACAAGAAATGTAGTGATTATAGAATAAGATCTCAATCAGTCGAGCAGTCACTTGTAATTTTAAGCAAGAATGCCAAAAATGTGCTGGTTTTCATCAGGGTTCAACCAGTTATTGGCCTGGCAGATCCAATATTTAGCATTTTTCCCATTACTCGTGTCATCGTTATTTAAACGCCAGTTCCTTCAGTAAAACAAATGTGCTACTTTGGTTGTCTCTCCGTCTGCACTCACTCTGTAGTTTCAAGCAATACTCCACTGGCAGCACTACATGACGGGTTAAATGTCACGTGTAATAGCCGATTAGCTCTTTTTTTAATTAAACATATGTAAAACAGTAATAATCAAATCCTTTTCAACAAAGTTTTGTCTTGGAGGTTGTGTTGTTCTAAATTTTGACACAATGATTTTCATTTTATTTAACATACATCAGATCTAGATGTTGGTAATCTGCCTCCATGGTTTATTGTCGGTTGACGTCTGGTTTTCTGCTTTTGTCTGACACTAAACTAAACAGTGTTGGACAGAGCGAGCAGCAGTCTCCACTTTAGTCTGACGTTTCATAAACAAACACTCAACAGGTTAATCAAGAAATAATTTGCAAGAATGTGTTTGGCTGCAGCGCTCCCGTTTGTCTACATCTAGACACCGTGATGAAGCCTTGGTCGGGACGGGGGGGGGATTAGGGATGTCCAGTGTCTCCCGCTGTCTGTCACACACACACACACACACACTCACTGAAATACAAACACACACACAGGCGGGTTCACCCACGTAAGCAGCCCATCTGTCCTCTGAGACCAGCAGCTGGTTGGTGGCAGAAAAGCCCAGCGTGAACTTGACCTCCGACGCCCTGCAACAGGACAAGTCACTGCCCACTGTATCCATCGACTGTATCTGTCTGTCTGAAACACACACACACACACACACACACACACACACACACACACACACACACACACACACAGACATCCTCCCTTCGCCATTAGAATCATTAACTGGACACTGATTATATTAAGGCCGGACCCACAAGACTAATTTCACTAAGTGCAGAAAGCTTGTGCTTATTTTGTGTATGTGTTTGTGCGTTTGCGTGCGCCGCATATCTCCCGCTGTTGCTCATATTAGCCGACAGTCTGTTTCAGTCTCTTATATGATGTAAGAGGCCAACACTATGAACCGCTTTGGCCCGAAGTTCAAGTCGATTTGTTCGAAAGACGGTGCGGTTTAGAGGGAAACTTTTATCCTGTGTGCGGCAGAAAGGGAATGGAGTATGTGCTGTGTGTTTATGTGCTGCAGCTTCACTGTTAAAAGAACATTTTTAATCAAGTCGCAAAGTCGCTGGCGCAGGCGTTTCTGAAATCCTCCCAAACAAGATATCAAGTTTTAATGGCTGCAAAAATCTTTGCTTTAGAAAAACCAAACACATTATTTATTATTTATTAGCACTTAAAACTTGAACATCTGTTGAAAAGTTGTGCAGAAAAAGCTGTTTTCAGAGTGTGCCGGTGCCGAAGTGTTACCGAACAACACGAGCTGCAGTCAGATGGAGTCACGCCGCACTTGTTGTGTACCGTCGATGCTTTTCTGCGGCCACTCACTCTGTCTGTTTCCAAGAAGTGTTCCTTTTGTTGCTGGCGTTGCGGTCACTCCGGCATCTTAATTGCTTCTCTTCCTGGTACCGATATTGTGCCCTCACCGTTTCCTCTCTGCGTCTCCTCCACAGATCACCAGAAGCTGGAGCGGGAGGCGAGGATCTGTCGTCTGCTGAAGCATCCAAACATAGGTGAGTCACCTTCGAGAGCCAACGGACCGAAGATGACTGGAGCAGATGTGATAATTCAGATATGTCACGAAAAGATGTTGAAATCAGAAAGGTTTAGTCACTGCAAAACATCTCTGGATCCACAAATCCATCAGCGCTGTCTTGTTTAACTGGCATGTTTTACTGAAATTAGCTTTACTTCCTCATTGTTTTGAGGCCAACCATAAAAAAAATAAGAGTACCAGGAAAATCAGTGCATTTTTTCCTTTAAGGATTCAAGGAGCTTTATTATCATGCCAGCTCACATTTACATGTTTGTGGTACGACATTAGTCCTCAGGTCCCAGTTTTTAAAAAGCCTAATATACAATAAGTACCATGTAAAACAAAAGCAAAATATAAGTAAAAATACAAGCAATATACGTGTAACTATAGTAAAAAATACAAACATTTAATATTAAACAATTTGTTGATTTTCAACTCTGATAAAATCCCAAACTGAGAAAAGTACTGACGTGATCATTCAGTGAGTTAATCAAACAAATCATATGGATTCAAGAAAAGCATAACTCTGCCTGATGAACTTATAAAAGTCCAATAACTTGAATCCTATCAGGCTTATCTGGGATCTGATGAATTTAGAGACGCACTGAAAATTAAACAAATAATGTGTTTTTCCATAACCACCTTTCAGGTAGCTTGTGGACGTTTTTTTTTAATGTCTTCTCACATTTTAAGCCACTGTGAGCTCAATTTTCACTGCAAAATAAATAAAGTCCTGTATGTTTAGGGAAACAGCACAACCATGGATAGAGAAGTAGAAGTAGAGAGAGTTGATTAGTGTCTTTGTGTGGTGTGACTCAGTCAATATGGCATAAATCTTCAAAAAAAAAACAACATTTTTTTGATTGCCTTTTGATTAACACCTGGATTCAAAATGTGCAGCATTTTTCCAAGTGCCCACAGGTGCTACCACTTCTGAGAAAAATGGTGGCTCTACATATTGTAAATAATTTACTACTTACATTATTAGGTGGCCTCCACACTTCTTTCTTATCAGCTTTATGTAAACACAGACAAGTTCAGCTGGAAAGTCCCTGAATTTTTGTCACGTTCCTTTTAATCACAGCTGAGTCACTCTGAGTGAGTAGAAGAAGAGGAGTGTAGAATTTTGATATTTTACAGAATCTGGTTGGAGCAAACTGTTTGTTTTTGGCGTTTTTTAAAAAATGAAACATGTCAAATAAAATTGTTTTCGTAAAATATCTTAATTTTAAGCTTAAAATTGTTTCTAGACTGAATGGCACATCACAGACGAGTAGCATCAAAAATTTCAAAACCTGCAGATTCGCTCTGTTTTCACAGTTCTGCCTCCGATAAATGGTGGGACTTTCTGCAATTTTTGTTTTCCTATTTTAATAGACAGCATGTTTTTCTGTCCTCGCTGGAGGGCTTCGAGGATCAGAGGGTTAATTAAAGGAATTTTGAGCGATAAAAAAGGGATGGAGATTTTAACAATGTGCAGGAATGTGCAAATAACACGCCCAAGAATGTGCACATTTACAAAGCATATGTATGAAACATATCTGAGTAACATCAGCACCTACATCACCTGATCAAGTTAAATTAGATGTTTTGGATTAACAGCAACTTACCTTCTTTTGGTAAATGTTGACGAATGCCGGCATGTTTTAGTTCGTCTCATTTTAATAAGTTTACTTTATAAACCTGTTTTTTTCCAAGAGGTCAGGCAACAATGCAAACAGACTCATAACGTTACTGGACATAAGGAGCTTTTTGAACTTGTCAGAAAGAGAAGTCGACTGAAAAACAATACTTTGGATGGCAGAGAAAACTTAACAAGACTTTCCATAAAAACAGTGTGATTTGTTCAGTGTTGTGACTTTATTATTTAACTTTTTTGTTCACACACATGCTCCTAAATACATTTTACAGTTCGCAGGCATTTGTTTTTAGTCGTATATTTGAGTAAAATGCTCGAGTCTGTTAACTCGACCTGCATAAATGTGAAACTAAAGGTGCTCATTTTACTAAACTACATGTTTACAGAGCACAGACTTGCCTCGTCCATTGACAGGTGACGTGTAAAGTCAGGGTGCTGCAGCATTGCACTCGGCACATGTAGTCAAGTCTATTAGGCAGACCTATTTAAAACTAATGCAGCTGAGTGCAACAGTCCCGCCATCGATTCTGCGTTTATGAAGGCTGTAATGTTTCAATCTGAGAAGCGTTGATTCAACTGTGTGATCATCTTGGCGGCTGCGGTTTGTGATGCTGCTGAATCGTGTTTCGCTGACAGGTGTTTCTATAATCTTATCCACGCCGCCGATATCAAGCCGGATCGGACAAGTAACAGAAACAACTCTCGGGTCTGTTACCGCTGATGTCGGCTGACACCTCTGCCTCTGCCAGACTGCAGCCCTATCCACTTATTTCAGAGGCTTCTTGCCTTCAATCTGCCCTTCATCCAGTGAAACATGTTCGGTTGCGTCCAGGTCAGGTGTGGCTGTGGAAACGCTGTTTACCTGCTGTGGGTTTAAGCTGAAACATTGTGGTCATCGTTTCATCTCAGAGCCAAAACAACAACCGTGGCTTTTTTATTAAGTTAGCTTTCATTTTAGCGTTGCTCGGTTTAATAATAGCTCTGAAACAAATGGCCTCCGGCGATAGGCAAATCCGCCAGTTACCTGATCTGTCGCTGTGTGGGACATTTGCATGGTGCGACTGGCCAGCAGCCAAGGAGGCAAAGTGAGTCTGAACACCGACACATGCACGGTCAGCTGGCGGCACTAATACGATCAACACTGTGTTTACTTTGTGCGCTGCGTGCGTGAAGCCCGGTGGTCGACGGTCACTTGATATTTCCCTCTAAATGACCAGCATTCCTGACGTCCGTTTGGGAAAGTGTGGAGCAGACGGGCTCAAAATGAATGTTTTATATTCCTCATGATCAGCAATCTTGGATGTATAGCGGCCGCGTTTGCCAGTGAAAGCACACGGGAGCCAGACGAATGTTTAATCGTGGTGGCAGTAACCTGTCAGGTAGACTGAAGGATTATTGTGCCTGTAAATGTCTTTGTGAATCTGTGTAGAGTGTCGTACAACTTGGGATTCGTCGCGTCGCTCTGACTGTCTGTGAGATCCAGACAAAAGGCAGTGGCCCCGTGGAAAGGAAGGAAATGGCAAAGTGTTTTTAAGGCAGACCTGCCAAGTGTGTTATCAAAACATGCTGTCCAGTCCAAGCTACACGCCCACACACACACACACACACACACACACACACACACACGCTGCGTATGATAGCAACATAATAGGCATCAGGGTTTCATTGGTCTCTCTTCGTCCCACCTGATTTCAGCTTCCTCTTCTTCTATTCTTCCTCTCCTCTGCGCTGCTCTTTTCTTATCCTGTTCTCAAGGGGAGACCTTGTCAAGTTTTTCTTTTTCTTTTTTTAAATGTAACTCGTCTGAAGAAAGAAGAAAGAGAGTAAAATAGCACATTTTCAGGCTTTATTCAGGAACTCGAGCACCTTCACCCACCTTGACACGAGCTGGTTTTTTAATCAGCCTGTGAAAATCCAGTCAGTCGGTAATTCAAAACTGATTTACGACGGTTAAAGTTGTGCTTTTTCGGCGACAACCCCTTCACCCGTCGTAAGGTTTCCTGTCTGGCTTTGTTGCTTTTATAGACGAGACAAAGCCAAAAAAAAAAAAAAAAAGGAATTTAGCAGTATCACATTAATTATGAATGATTAAAATATGGTAACCGTTCTGTCGGTGTTCGTGTCCAAAAGCTGGTTCCTCGTTGCCAACCGGCCAGGTGGCGCGTTAGAAAGCTACTGTCTGATCGTTTCTGATAGCGGCTCGGTGCTGCTGGAAACCTGAGAGCACTTTGTATCACTTGACCTTGTGTGTTTGTTATGATTATGAATGAACATACTAGTGTGTGAACGACACCGATGCTTTCAGGGGACCTCAGTTTTTTTCCACTTTGTGGCGTAAATACAACACGTACTTATTGTAAAGCACTCGACTAAGTTTTTATCATTATTCACATTTATTAAAATAGAAATAGTAAGAATAAGAAAGCAGATGAGAACCTGACTGATTCAAGCACCATGGATCTGTTTTGTTTTATGGCGTTAAGCAAGTTTGTTTTTTTTATTTCATCTTTGAGTGAAGTGAGTGATGAGTAGACCTGGTGATTACAAGAACAACGTGCATACCGGTAACCTTCCTAAAACGAATTAGTGATGAGTCACCCTAAAGCATGAATCATACCTAAACAATGGCGTCATTTAATGCATGGAAAGAGGAGCATTTTGTCAAATATCCCCCCACACAAACTCTCCCAAATGATATGTTCAGTGGAGTTCTTCACTCTTTATTAAGACGGACGTTGTGCGAGAGAGTTTGCACACTGGAACGTACCGTGATAACGTGATTTGCATTAACGTCAGTGATAAATAACGCAAATTTCCTCAGCATAACGTCATAGCGCACATTGCTAACATACCGAGTGTCAGTGTGTCTGAACAGAGAGAAAGCACTGACATTAACCCTCCGCCTCCACTCTCCCAGCTGACCTCCAAATGTGGAGTGATTGTCGAAGGGATCGGTAACTGTCCTGAAAAAGTAATTTTAACCACCACCGCCCCCCAACACGCTGACAGAAAAGCTTCAGTCAAAGTAATGGTTCGAGGAGAGTTTCCAGTTAGAGGCTAATTCACATGAGCAGCTTTGTCTTACCTAATGGCCTGATTTGTAATTGAAGACTCTCTCTCTCTCTGTTTCTTCCTCACCAGTACGACTCCACGACAGCATCTCAGAGGAAGGCTTCCATTACCTTGTCTTTGACCTGTAAGTAAATCGCATTAACATACACACAGAACATGCATGTGTGATGAATGTACGTCCTGTTGCATCTTCTTCTCTGTGATGGTGCTTGTGTGACATGTAGTGTGTCTTCTAGTGGAGATGCACAGGTAGCAATTCTAATGTTAACACAAAAAAACCCCCACACAAATAGATATAAACACACAAGTACACACATAGATAATATATATATGATTGTATGAATTATCTTACCTTGATACACATTAAATAAAGAAGTCGAGTCAAACCTGGAGGCAATATTCTGTAGAACATAATGGTCCAGCTTCAGCTCTTTATCATTTAGCGACAGGGTAAACTTTGGGCTTAACTTGGGAAGAGCTAAGTGAAGGATGTGGCTGTGATGTTTCCTAAAAAATATTGGCAATTGGAATTGTTTTAGTTAAACATTTGGATGCAGGAAAGCGTTAATATGTTGGGAAAAAAGAGAAACTGTGCAGGACTGCCTCACTGTGCCATTCAAATCCTCTTCAAAACTTGGAATGTTCAGTGTTGTTGTTGTCGTTTCCCATCGTGGAAAAGACGGTTAAGGCACATATAGTGAAAATGACGGACAAAGACTTAAAGCTGCAGCCTGTGACTCAGACGAGGCTCAGAGTGGAAGCCCTGGACCGGCTGTATCCTAACGGTGACCCTTGATGTGAAGTCCCGCCTGGAGAGCGTCGCTAAGTTGGAGGTGGTGGGGCTCACAGGGTCACAGGTGTTTTTTTGACCGGGTAGATCATCTAGCAGCATCAGACTAGCACACCGTGGGAGACCTGCACGGAGAGGGACTGTGGGCGAAGGGGTTCCATTATCAAGCGATCTGATTCATGAGCCAGTGAGGCAGCACGCTTGTAACTGAACTTCATATTTCTGTTACGTGCCTCCATGGTGGTTTGCAGCTAAGGCATTTGCTAGTGAACCTTTCTGTAGAATAATTTTTGTTTTGCTGCTAAGTGTCTGTTGCTGTTCTTTTTTCATTCAACTGTATGTTAAATATCAGATTTTATCAACCCAAAGTGACAGAAAATACATCTATTTGTGACTCAAACATCACAGTTCCAACCCTTTTGTGACACTTGGTGTACTTTGAAATATGTTAGGTAGAATGCAGCACCTAATTGTTATAAAAGTAGTACTTAATAGGTACAGCTGAAAGTTCAGAGCAAGCTTCAGGTGATTACTATTTGGTGCAACAGATACTGATCAACCAGACATGCCAGTCAGTCGTGTAGAGGCTTGTATCATCAACAACTAGTCCAGCGGCCTCTTGAAGCACCAGCCTGAGCCTGTTACACTGCAACATAAATCACCAAAGCATACGAATCACTCATTAAAAAGTATGTTAATGATACTTTCTGTAGTGTTTTTCATTTGTGAGAAGCATCTGCATTTTATTTTTTAGGGAGGGGGGGAAAAAAAGGGAAATAACCAATTCTCTCTTTTCTTTCCCGTCTGTCTGCAGTGTCACTGGAGGAGAGCTGTTTGAGGACATCGTTGCGAGAGAGTATTACAGCGAGGCAGATGCCAGGTACAGTATGTCAGGCGGGCTGACAGCTTTCATGCATATGTGCAAAGTTTTTCGGGGGCTGCCGTTGTCAAATTTCATGCCGCCCAAAGCAGCAAAGTCGAGTCATGGAAGCACAAAATGTTTTGCCGTTTAAATCTGTGTTAATGTACTTTGTGTGCTTTAGCAGCAGACGGGAGTGCTTCTCGTTTGTGGCAGTTCCGGTATGCGCTTTATTTTCCACCAAGTGACTCAGGCTTTTTAAATTTAATTTCATCAATAAGTAATGGCAAAGCTGTCCTAAGTGTTGAAATCTTATTTTGAGTTTGTTGTCAGGAGGCGCAGTTGGTTTTTTCGCACAGGAACAGATTACCTGCCTGACTGGACCTTAACCCACGTCCTAAGACACTTTAAAAGTTATATAAAAATAACTCTGCATGAGCAAATAAAACATGAAGATAATGCAGTTCTGTCAGCGTGGTAATAAAATATAATTACCGCTATTTAGTGTAACTCAGACTCTTTTGTCTGTGCCTATAAATGGATTGATTTATGTCGTTTGGTTTTCATTCTGAGCAGAGGTGTGGTTCAGGTGGTGTTTAACTCCATATTCTGACTTCATTACACAACCTGTAAGACAATAATCACATTGTTATATGCCGTGGTGTAATTAAGGCTCCCACAGAACTAGTCACGGCTGGTGGATGAACACATACTTCCAGCGTTCTGTTCAGGTAAAAAGAAAAATGAAGGAAGAAAGAATGTAGTGGAATAGAGAACATGAAGGGAGTGCATGGTGCTAAAGTGAGCAAAGTAAGCTGCAAGACAGTCTTATGGGCATTATATTAGCTGCCAAAACGAAGTGGAGGAAGATAAAATAGGCTTAGTACCACACAGAAATGAGTGTAAGGTGTTTGAGTGAGTCAGGAAGGTTTAGAGGAGATAGACCGAACAAAATTTGAAGTTCATTTTTAGCCTAATTTGGACACAATACCACTCTTTTGATTCTATCGTACAGAAAGAGGACAAAAATCTGTCTCAGTGCACCCTCCCACTGCTGACCCAGACTTCACCCTTTACTAATGTCAAGCTCCATTTATTTTAAAAAGAAATAATAGCAACTTTAACTGAGCATCAGACCAGCAGCACAAGTGCAGATATGTAAGCTTAGGACAAGCTTACATAAGACGCCCCCCCACAAAACCCTGCCCGCTCTGCTTCCTTCCTCACATTCATTCACTTTAAAATGCACCAAATTCTTCTTTCACACGCATCACACATCCTCCTATTCATGTACCACAGACTGCAGAGGATGTTTCACAAATGATTGTTGCTCTTAGATTGCAGGTATATTTATGCAAGTCTCACAGAGGTTATTCGTGGGACATAAATATCAGTTGTTTTGATTTGTGTGGTGCCAAAATGGTGCAAAATGGTGCAAGTCATGGATAGAATTTTGCAGGTTTGGTGAAACAGACCGTATGTGTTGCCAATCAAGCAATCAATATAATTGTAGTTGTTCCAAACAGGTGCAGAAGGTGTGAGAGAAAATCCACTTATGGGTCGTTTTATCACAAATCATCAGATTTAAAGAACAGTTTGTGCTCAGTCATTTTTGATTTGCTTGATTTTTTCATATCATAAAATATGGTGAAGATATTTGGGAAATTTTAACTTGTTTAACACATTTAAGAAAGATTATTTTCTGTGTTATGTTTGGAGAACCATTTGGAAACTCTACATCTCTGTTCTACTTGGATCAGACTATCTAGAAATGCTTTTGTTTTTTGTGGTGCAGTTTGTCACATCTGCTCAATCAGTTATGAAAGTTCAACAAAAATAACCTTTTTTTTACATTTTGTTTTGTGTGACTGTGACATGCAGCTAAATATGGTTCAGAAAATATCACAAGTTAACTTCTGCATTATACATTTTTTTGTTAATGTGTGCTCAAAAATGTGACTTTTCATGACATTCTCACATTTCAGCTCACTCTGCTTGTCCAATTTTGCAGATTCTGAATCAATGACATGATTAGAAACAACAATAAACATTTCCAGAGCTAGTCTTTCAAACATAACCCAAAATTTCAAGGGCAGTTGCTTTTTTTGATTATCTTTATATGATCTATCAATGTAAAATTTCCCAGATTGAATTTACAAGTTGATGATAAAGTTTCAAGCAAATCAGAGAAGGTCAAGCAGAACACTCCTGATGATGTGAGACAGAATAACCCTTATAAAATAGGGGTGATGCCGTATATGTGGTGTGTCGCTCACAGAGATAGTTGTGTAACAGACAAGGAGAGGTTCAACACTGGCTCCTCTCTCGGCTCTGCTCAGCTGGTCGGTGATGGTGTGAAGTGGATGTGAATGTCCGCCGGACTGCGATTCAGATGTCAGAAAGGTGTTGCGGGAAAAGCTTTCTGAAGCCTCACAACCATCCAGCCGGCACTTCTAATGAAGAACAGTGGCGCCTTTAAGCAGGATTTAATCTAAACTGTGTGCTGGATGGTCAATTAGTGTCGGAAACATCCTCCCCCGACAACTTTCCACCGAGCAGAGCTGAGAGAGCGCCGGGCCTCGTGCTCTCCCTCTTTGTAGCTCTCTTTATTTGTGTGTAACACAATGCAGCAATATCAATGTCTTCCTGGAAAGATTGTCTGAAAATGTTTCCCCCCATCTCCCAGTGATGCTTTTCTGAATGACTGAGAGTATAAACTTGCTCTTACTGCCAGGAAAGGTGTTTCTGTTGGTCCCAAAGGTGCTAATTTAGGTTGAAGTCAAGGGTGTCCACATACTTTTGGCCACATAAATGTTCATCATTTCATCCTGTGGCCGACTGAAACTTCTCCTCTGTTCAGCTGTAGTTGTCTTTTTTTGGCTCTTTCTTCCCCTTTGCTTATCTCTGCTTGTGTCTCTTTCCGGCTCACATTTCTTCCAGCGCTGTTGACCTTGCTGCAAGTTAACTCGTATTTATGTGTTTTGAATTTCGGAGCCTCTTATATGCTTTACCTTTCATGCTCCGTGAATTCGCTCTCACGGTTCTGCACAGGGTCACTTTAACTTATTTTTGCACTACAGTATTATTAAATCTACTCAGCCCTTGCAAAAATAAAACACAACCTCTCTGCTGTATATGAGAATTGCACTCTTTTATTACATATTGATATATTTTTCAATGTGCCGAGTTTTTTATTTTTTATTTTTGTTTTTTAAGCTACTGGATGCTTGAATTTCCCTCGAGATCAATAAAGCGCCCGTCTGCTCTGAACGTACACAAAGGCCAGCGATGACATTTGAAAATTCTCTCTCAAACTTTGTTCTTCCTCCACGTCAGCCTGCTCTCTGTTGTCGCCTCGCTGTTGAGGAGTGACAGATGTGTCTGACTTGTGTTTCTCATCCGTCTCTGTCTCCTGCAGCCACTGCATCAATCAGATCCTGGAGAGCGTCAGTCACATCCACCAGCATGATATTGTGCACAGGGACCTCAAGGTGAGTTATTGGTGAATATGGGAGGTCCTTGTATACGAGCCAACCTTCTATTTGTACAGAAAAAGAAAATGATTACACGCTGTGCTGTGAATGAAGAGGGAAAGGCATGCGTGGAGATTTATAACGGGCCTGTGCAGACGCTCACGCAGACGTCATGCGGTGACGCTGAGAACAACTTAAGGGATGAGCGTCATCCTCCTCGCCGGCTTTCTTCTCTCCTTATTTCTTCGTTCACATCTGTATGTCTGCACCCCCTCCTCTGTTTCATCTGTCCCCCTCTTTTCCTCTCCATCTCTCTCCCCTCCTCCCTCCCTCCTGCACTGCCGAGGAGTGACGAAAGCAGACCAGCTGCTATTAATAGCGGGTCGGTGGGTGAGATGACGGCCAGTGACGATTCCCCTCGCAGCGAAGCTTGTTCACCCCGAGCACAAACCAACAGCGCTCCTCAGCTGTGTGATTCTAATTTTAATTAATTTGAATAGTAAACGAAGACGGTATTGACCTGAGATTTAAACACCTGGATAAATTGCACTTTTCTGTTATTGCCACTAATGTGTTGAGAGTCCTAAACTTTAAATACTTTACTTTCACAATCTGATCTGTTACTTTTATGTGACACTGCAAAATTAAGCCATTACTCTGAGGGTAAGCAGACAAGCGTAATTGGAAAATAAACCATCGGTTTTCGTGTGAGAGTGGCGCAAATGCACTTGTGTTGCCTCTCATTGATTTTTGGCTTTCATATGGATGTCGGTATCAAATGAACTCGGAGAGGGGAAGAGTTTTAGAAAGACGATAATGATGACAGACGACGAGGGCGCTGGACAGAAATGCATTACATTAGCTGTTAATGCACGTGTATCCAAACTGTGCTACACCATTACTGTAAACACTTTGTTCTTAAATGGTAATTGAACAACAACAGGGAAATCTATGTTAATAGAATTAACCCTTTAAAACTTAATTTACGTGCCGGTGGGCCAGTTATTACAAGCTTTCAATGTTTCCATTTGATGGACTAAAGCAGCAAAAATACATGACGTCTGAATATTTCACGCAGCACAAACATCCTATTGCATTATAATAAATGCATTTGGCGCGCTAGCCCCCAAAGCTGTTTAAAACAAGTGCATTATCTCCGTAATAGCTTTAGTGATGAGCTGGAACAAACTTTTTAAACCTGCAAAATCTCATAACACGATATTGACTTTTAAGTTGACACAGTAAATTTGTTCGCAAACAGTTTTGACTTTCCACATTCAGTAGTTAGAGAGCGACACTATCATTCATTTGGAGTCATCTTATGAATCAAAGTCTAATATTCACTCTCTTTTAGCTCCGTTTTTGGTCCCTACCGACTCTGTGGGCTCACTGTGTAGTGTGTTTAAAAAAATTCCAAAAAAAGCTAAAAGGAGAATGGACCAAACACTCACTGATAACTAAAATATACACTCATCACATTATCTACATGTAAACCTCTTTAATGTTGTTGCTTGTGATGTTGTGTGACGCAAAAATATCAATCGTACAAACTGTAAAGCAACTTAGAAAAAAGCTGCTGTTACCTCAGGTCAGATGGACAAAATCAGCATTTAGCCAAGTAGAGCTAAACAAAGTTTAATGTTGTATCTGCTGGATGCATGTATGAGCAACTGTTTCCTAACATAAACCACCATAACTCTGAATGATTTCATGTCTGTGTGGTGCTCATATCTTGTTCCGCTGCCTCCAAGTTGCCCAAAAAATAAATAAAATCAATCAATACTCCTTTAAGGCATTAGTTTCTTTGAGAGAGATTCTTGGTAAAACAATCCCTGTAATCATCAGATAGCTCAGAAAAAGCAATATCTGATTTAGTTGGAGTTTTTTTTTACTGAGAGCGTCCAGGGGATAAAGCTGCCGAGCTGCCAAACGCAGCATCTGTACGGGAGCCATAAAAAACACTAATAATGCCCACAAAGCTGTGCCGTGGCAAGGTGTGACCTCAAACACGCATGCATGTCATATTTCTGCCTCCCTGTCATCTTGGGAGGGCCACTCGCTGAAGGGAAAACAAGAATTAGCGAGAAAGAGTTGAGTGCTGTTGGCTGGTGGCAGGCTGGGTTGCCATGGTAACTATAGGGTGAGGTCACTCGGCTGCTGCAGCGCCGGCGTAGGGACTCATTATGCCACCTCCCATCTATCTATCTCTATCTGTCTGTCTCTCTGTTCTTGTGTTGCTTTCGCTCCAGCCCCCCCGTTTTTTTTTCTCTCTCTTTTCCTATTGTTTCAGCTCTGCCTGTTAGAGGAGGGGAAATGCTTGTAGTCTTACATGTAAGGCCACCACACTGTTGGAGAGAAACATCTGTAACCGGTTATCCTGCTCGGGGTCTCCAGTCCATCGGGGCTCATGCAGACCCCCAACAACACTTGATGCTATCTCGATCTGATCAGGGGCCCTTGCATGTGCACACCTTTCGTAGTTCTTCGATTGAAACTTAATATGCAAAAGCTCTGGCAGTGAGTTCATGTCTCACTTTTCCACAGCCCCGCTCATGGTGCTAACCTAACCTGCGCAGGAAAAAAAAAGCTGATGAGCGCTAGTCCGACTCCCGCAGGGTGTCCCTCGATAGACGGGGGGTCATCTGTGGCTTGAGATAACAGGAAGAGGCGGAGTCAGGTGACCTTTTAGCTTATGTATCAGATTTCTTCCGAACAAAGTCACACTGTCGGTTCTGCTTTTATGCCCGGCGGAGATGTTATCGCAGCGCAAACCAGACCACCTCCAGGTGTAGTGTGGCAGATTCGATTTCACCTCAGTCGTGTTTTGCATGTCCCGCTACGTCCGGTCACGTTTTTGCTGTGTGCAAACCAGCATGCTTTTCCGGCCGTTCTGACCCACAATCCTCGGGGCGTTTATGTCATGGTCATCATTATAAAAAAAGCTTGAGCCACCGAGAGTGCACAGACAGATGACAGCTTATTTCACACTACAGAGTGCGACGTTTAAAGCTTAAGGCGCATTTTCATGACAAAGAAGTATATAGTACACCACATGAAACGGTGCATACTTTGTCAGGGCAGCTGCTGTATGTACTTAAAGTAAAAAGAACAAGTGTACAATTTGGAACACAGACATCTTGGCAGTTCCTGATTCCTTCTACCGCCAAACTAATCCAAAAATGAGCAACGAGATAGCCCATGAGTGGAGCTGAGGTGAGCTATGGACAACACCTGTCACTCAAAGTGGCCACACCCTTAATTACGCCATAACTTTAAGCTGTAATACAATTAAAATGGGTGAGTTATATAAAAAACCACTTCCTATACAGTTGTCATGAATGGGGGAATTAGCTATAGAGACTAAAACCATTTTTCGTACCAGCCTATAAATGTATATATTTGTGCTGTAAAGGTCGACGTTTTAACTTTGGAGTCTGTGGGGGATTGGCTCGCTTTCAGAGGCAGCCTCAAGTGGACGTGTGAGGAACTGCAGTCTTTGGCACTTCAACACTTTCTGCATTTTTACTACCTGAAAGTTGTCGCTTGATTCACTCAACTTACAGTGATGTGGACTCGTTATTTAGTTATGCAAATTTGCAGCTTTCCTTCGGGGAATTACTGGGGTAGTCCAAAATTAAAAAACAGAAAGTTTATTGTTGTAGCACACTTGAAAAACAAACTGAATCGATTGAAGTGCTGCAAACGCTTCAAACACCAAACAACAAGAAACATATGTGCAAAAAGCAAGACAGAAAAAGATTTTTAGAAAACTAAAAACAGCAAACCAACCAAAAGCCATTGAAAACATGAAGGTTTGGAGAGTTTTCTTTTAAAATATCATTGGAGGAGGAACGTTTGATTGAGAGAGCTATGCCAAAGCCTGCAAAGGCACGAGTAGGAGCAAGTGAACAGTCCCATAGCAGAGAGCACCTTGTCTCGTCCACAGAGATGTCTTTGATCAGGTAAGAGGACAAAACCCCGGCGTGCTCCTCACATAGCGTTCGGAGTCTTCATTATTTAAAGCGATCATGCATGAGATGTCATTTGTAGTCTGCGAGGGTTTAGGGTGGACAAAGAAAACTTGCAAATTCTCCTGAAAACATAGTTGTATTGCTGTAAGATGACAGAAAGAATATAACAACAACAAAAATCCCCTAAAACAATGTAAGCCAGCTGTGCAGCCGTAATCAGTAACTGACTCGTGCCAAACGACACTCGATGTTTCATCTCTTTTTTTTTTTTTTCTCCCTCTCACGTCGTCCTGAAGTGAGGGAAACTATGATGTAAGGAAGTGACTAAAGCACAGCTAATATGTCCTGATCTTTGCCAAGGCCTGACTTTTTTTTTTTTGCACGATTGTGTGATCAGAGGGACAGAGTCACAACGCTGTGTTAAATCTTGTGACAGCTGACTGAAAAGGTCTTTCCTTTGGGGGAAGCCTTTGTAGCCGGCTTGACCATATCATGCCTCATTGCTACTGTAGATGTCATCGTGCTCCTGCAGCTCGTCCAGTCATGCAGACAGAGAGGACATTTCTTGAAGTAGGGTACATGCCTATCTCAGCCCTTAATTAAATGTTTTTTTGTGTGTGTGTTGTTGTGCTATAATTAATTTTATGCCATGCAAAACTTCATTGAGTTTACTGAAGGATAAATTTAACAACCTCGTGTAGTTGAGTCTTTTTTTTTCTCCTTTTTTAAGTGGAAATATTTGCCTACAGTTTCTCATATGTTTTCCTTCATTTGATAGAAATCTGAAGTGCCTTGTGTTTGCATTTTCCTATATATATTTTTTGCATTTCACAGGAAATCTGACAATAATAGGAAGGATCTTTGATAGTCGCTAGGTTAGTCGTCACTAGCTGCATGCTTAATGAAAGTATTTAACCCTCAGGGATTATCTGTCTCTGTGTTGCAGCCAGAGAACCTGCTCCTGGCCAGTAAGATGAAGGGAGCGGCGGTGAAGCTCGCGGATTTCGGTCTAGCCATCGAGGTGCAGGGGGACCAACAGGCATGGTTTGGTAAGGAACACATTCCCTGCATTTCTTCCACAGCGTTGACATTCAGCAGCAGCGTTCGCCTCAGTGAGCAGCCAGCTTGAGTTTGCGTTTCAATACATTATGATAACGATATGCGGTATTTTTGTTATTGTCTTCGAGAAAAAAAAAAAAAACAAGAGCGTACATTTAATAGAATTTGCTACATAATCAGCCTCTGTCCCAAGGGAACAAGATAATTTTGTTTGTATATGTGTTGCATTTTAAACAACTGCGGTGCGGTGATATTTGTGGTGAATATTACTTTTACATTCAAAACCGCATTAAATATTACTGAACTGTCGTATCAGGTTAAAACAGTTTTTAAAATGGCAGCAGAATGAGAAAATTGAGGAGAGGTGCTGAGATAGAGGTCGGTGCACTCATTTGTGTGTCTGAAACACACAGAAAATGACAAAAAATATCTCTTTTGAACATATAATCTTGCACAAATCATACAGTAATGAGAAGAGAGACTGTATATCACCGATCCGTTGGTTTCGTAGACAAATGTCACATAAGCATGTTTGTGGTTTTGCAGGTTTTGCCGGAACTCCAGGGTACCTTTCCCCAGAGGTGTTGAGAAAGGACCCGTACGGGAAGCCGGTGGACATATGGGCATGTGGTCAGTTACCCACTCTAACACCCACACGAATTCATACTCGACTGGTTAGCTGTAGTTCGTGTAAGACGCAGGTCCACTCTGGTTCTGCTACCGCCCTCGTATATATGTCGCTGCTATGCTTTTATGTGATGTCGATAAAAGAGGACGCTGTTTGCACTCTGAGAGATCAACGTAACGCTTCATCTTTATTAGTATTTATGCTCTTCGTGCTACCATCTCGTAAAACTTTACTGCAACCAGTAATGCCACACAATCAGCTTCAGTGACAGATACAACCGAGTGTTTACGTCACACTCACGCACCTCACGACCCAATCAATCAGAATGCTGAAGGGCAACCAGCATCGAGGACTCCGCACATGCAAAAGTGCTTCAGATTAGAAGAGGGTTTGCTGACGTCTTCAACCTGCGTCATCCTGTTTCTCTGAATTGGCTGTAATGTGCCTGAATTACATTGTTCAGCCTGTGTTTGTGTGTTTGTGTTCATTTTGACAGCTATGCCTTGATTTATGTGTGTATCAGGTGTGATCCTGTACATCTTACTGGTGGGCTACCCTCCCTTCTGGGACGAGGACCAGCACAAACTGTACCAACAGATCAAAGCCGGCGCATATGACGTAAGTGCTCTCGTGTGGTGTTTGTGTGCAGTTGGCCTGGAAGCAGTTAGCATGGTTTTGAGATGAAACAAGTCTACTACACAAACTAGAAACCTTTTAATGCTTTTCACAATTTACCAACGTAGATGTGACCCACAGTCTCAGCTTCCGATGTGCAGTGTTGATGTCATAGCAGGGGTTAAAGGCAATCTCTAGATTTTAAGTTCTGCGAGTTGAGCTCTGTATCTCTGCTCCACTGCCGCATGAGGTGCTAAATGCACAACATCTACACATTAGAAGGTTGTAAATTGAATGGCAAAGTGTTGCTTACACTTCCAGCAGCACAGGGCGACACTGGCACTGATATCTTGTTATAGGTAGAAGGAATACGGCATCATGTGTGAATCTGCATCAAGCAGGCCGTCCTCGAGAAAGAGATTTGTAAGAGCGGCCACCAAGACACTTATGATTCCTCTGAAGGAGCGACAAGCTTCAGGACTGAGATGGGAGAGACTGTACATTCAATAACTGTTGCCTGTTCTTTACCAGTCAAAGCTTTATGGGAGAGTTGCAAAAGCTCGCATTAAATCTCTCATTTACATTATGGTGCAGAGTTTTGTTTTCACTTTGACATAAAAGACTTGCTTCTGTCAAAAAAGCCAGATTTAACTGACCACAATTTAATGTTAAAAAGCAAGAAAATAGGAAAACATTTAGTTTTAGAGGCACTGTAGTCTCCAACTTTGTGCAATATTTGGTTATGAGCAGGTTTTGTACGCTGAGTTTATCAGAGCTTTAAACCAACCAAACCAGGTGATTACAGTCTGAAGCAGCGTCTTTCATGTTAAACACACTGTAAAGCCTGAAAAGCCCATGTTCAAATAATGACTTAGTGTCAAATAATAGCCGAGGGCACAGCCAGCACAAACAAATAAATGAAGCTCGCTAATAACGGCTGGGTAAACAGACACGTGAGTGTAAATTGAGTGTAATGTGAGCGTCTGCAGCACGAACAACAACAGATTCGCTAACCACTCTGCTGCTCTGAGTTTCTCTTTTTATACAAAATTAATGTTTTTATTCCCTAATTAATTCCAGTTGCTTGTTCTTTGCGGTACTCCTGATCAGTGTTAAACTACCTCTGACTCTTCCTGATGTTTTTTTTTCTCTCAGTAAAAGATTATCTAAGAAGAAAAAAGCTGCTGGAACAAGTGTTTTATTCATAGCAGCAACATGAGCTGCCATGTGTGACTCCTGCTGCTGATAATCTGTAAAATATACAATATATTGAATTTATCAAGACAGCTGCTAAACATGGAGGACGTTTTGAGTTTGAATTCACCTGAGAGGAGGAGAAATTACAAATCAAAAGCCCAAATGAGCTCCTCTGCCAGCGAGATAAACAAAAACCGTTTGAGAATTTATGTTTGATCCATTAACGATATTGATTTGTGGAGCTTTAATCTTTTGTCGAGCACATATTCGTGGGCTCCTCCAAGGCCGGCTGACTGAAAATTCACCAATTTCACGACAAGGATCCTTTAAGACAAGAGTTAAAATCTGAAACGTCAGTCAGAGAGCTCCTTCTGTGTTAATAAAACCGAGTTCTAATACAGGATCTTCGTCGCCTGTTTCAAACATAATTGGTGTGAACGGCAACAAAAACAATCTGGGAGCCTCGAGACGAGCCCTGCAGGACACCTTCACTTCGAGTCTCGTCAAATAACGTGCTCTGAATTCTGTCGCGCAAGTAATTTAGAAATTTAATTTTAGTTTTTAATTGCTTGCTGCTTGTTATTGTATGATTTTCATCTTGCTGTTTAAAAAAAAAAAAAAGGCGATACTAGCAATAGGCTTATTTATCAGATCTTGTCATAGTCCTCTGGGAGATAGGAATTTATTACCCGTATTAATTTCCATAATTGGAAGCAACCACATCTAATGAATGTGCATAATATGAGCAGTGATATGAAGTGACTGTGACAAGCACTTGTAATAATGTGCACTTCTGGAGTGTCATCGCTGTCATGTAGACACCTTGAGTTTTGTTTTTTTTCTTTTTGTCAGTAACTGGAACCCGTTGAAGTAAACGCTGGTTGACAGCTTGCTTTGATTCTTTAGTAGTAAACATGTTATGCGACTCGGATGGAGGGATGAGGGCAGCAGGTGTGAGTGACTGGAGTGAAAGAAACAACGGCGACTTGAAAAAGTGAATCAAAGACCGACGGATCGCTGCTCGATTTCACGTATTATACAAGTGCCGAAACACAGGAAGAAAGAGCATTCCAACGATAAAGCTGCTGCTCTTTCCCTCTAAGCTGACGTTACGATAGAATAACCTTTAACATAATTAATAATATATTAGGAAGCATTAAACTTGTTTGTAGGAGGTTAAAGCAGAAATCAAAGAGGCACAAATTATCCTCAAGCCAAGTCTTAATAAAAGAGAGACAATGTGTAGCCTGTAGTGATTTTACACTTCATTAATGTTCAAATTCAAGTTTAATGAACACAAAACTCCCTGTCCACTGTTCACTTGTGCTACAGCAGTATTTTTACTTCTAATAGTTCCATCTACACATTTATATTTAGTGCTTTTCATCTCCACAGTCGGGCTGCAAGGTGGCGCAGTTGGTAGCACTGTTGCCTCGCAGCAAGAAGGTTGCCGGTTCGCGTCCCGGTGGGGGCACCGGAATCTTTCTGTGTGGAGTTTGCATGTTCTCGCCGTGCAGCGTGGGTTCTCTCCGGGTTCTCCGGCTTCCTCCCACACAGTCCAGAAACATGTTGAGGTTAATTGGTGATTCTAAATTGTCCGCAGGTGTGAATGTGAGTGTGCTTGGTTGTCTGTCTCTAAGTGTAGCCCTGCGATGGACTGGTTACCTGTCCAGGGTGTCCCCTGCCTTCACCCTAAGTCGGCTGGGATAGACTCCAGCCCCCCGCGACCCTCATGAGGATTAAGCGGTGTATAGATAATGGATGGATCTCCACGATCTTCACATGTGGACTTTTCTCCCTTCAGAACTGACAAATTGCGCGACCTCCGTTAATTCGCTGGAGGTCCACCAGTTAACGTGCCTCCCCCTGTCGTTTGCGCGATCCTCCCCTGGAAGCGAGGAGGGAGACGCTCGCACAGAGGACACACAGGCTGCCACATCTGTTTAATAAACACGGCAACAAAATCTGTTGCAAATCTGGCCCGGAGCCTTTTAATTATATCAGAGTCAACAACAGGTTTTTGGATGGATATTTTTTCAGATGCATCCTCCTGTGATTTCTGCCCGACTCCCTGGTGTCTGAGCACATGTTGTGTTTTGCAGATGCAGTTTTGGCTCTGCGAATATTTCTTAAATGTTGAAAGTGTCTGCTTAATGCTGATGAAAATAAATGTGGATTGTGAGGGGAAACAAGTAAAAAAAAGGTTGTGCATGTGTGTTAAAATGGTTTTTCAGTGATATTAATGTATGTGCATTCCTACCATTTCCTCCTCTTTCAGTTTCCTTCCCCAGAGTGGGACACAGTGACCCCCGAGGCCAAGAATCTGATCAATCAGATGTTAACGATTAACCCTGCCAAAAGAATCACTGCCGACCAGGCCCTCAAGCATCCCTGGGTCTGCGTAAGTCACTCTTGTCTCCGTCTTCGGTTTCCACGTCAAAAGTAATCTTTTTCCCGGCGTGTAAAACACTGCTGTAGCTGTTCACGCCAGCTTTAAAACAAATTATGTCACATTAGTTTCTCTATCTATCTTAATAGGCCGTCGTGTATCGACTGGATGTAGGAATAACTTGGCAGGACACCATGAGCCGGAGCTTTTGAACAAACACCCCCAGAATTACGCTGTAGTTTGTTCTTTAAAGACAGCTGGTCAAAACAAAAGCACAACTTGAGCCAGCCGTCTGTGCAACCTACCTACACTGAATACAAGAGCAGAATTTTTAGTTTTGGGTGGAATGACACACATTGGAAGAAGAAATTGAAAAGATTCCTGAAACACTGTAAAGTCATATAGCAGACGTATTTGCATAGCTGAGCTGCACAGATAGTATCAGAAATCTTAAAGGTTTATTCTACAGCTGGCAGTTTTAATAGTTCAAACTTATTTGTTTTCGACAAGGCAAGTTTTATCGGTCAGTTTGGTTTCACAGATCAGTTCAAAATATGCTTGAGCCTTGAAAAAAAAACACTCAGAGGAGCTGTGACGAATTAAAAAGCTGTAAACAAAACACGGTGCCATAGTTGTCAAAGTCTCTGAAATTGTGGTGAAATGTTTCTGACCAATTGCACTTCACCTACACGTCCTTGTTCACAGGCTTCTGCTCTTTATCAATTAATTTTTTCTGAAGCAATCATTAATCTTTTGTACTGATGATTTAACCGGGAGATGATTGATGATAAGACCCAAACCAGCAGCTACAGGTGCTACATGCTAACAGTGAAGCTTCTGGAAACAAAACATATTATTATTGTAAATACATTAGAAATACAGCCGCAGTAACTTAGTGTCCTGATGTAGAAAATAATGGACTTAAAATAAAGGACATTAAACTTGTGTTCACGGCCTCCATTCTGTTCATTGCTCACATTTATCAGAACTTCCTGATTAATCCAAACTGCTTCCTTTCCACATGCAGCAACGCTCCACCGTGGCCTCCATGATGCACCGTCAAGAGACTGTGGAATGTCTGCGCAAGTTCAACGCCAGGAGGAAACTTAAAGTGAGCTTGGACACAGACCTACACACATGTTAGCATGTTCACAAAGCACATATCCTTATAATGCGGATTCATTTTTTTTGTCATGTCTTTAGGGAGCTATCCTCACAACGATGCTGGTGTCCAGGAACTTTTCAGGTGAGCTTTGGCGCTCGGTTTGAAACGAGGTAACACTTCCACTGATCTAATCGCTGCTGTCCTGCTACTATATCTCGTGATTCCTCGTGAGCAGTCTGGTCACCGAAAGCACAGGGCGCTTTTAATCGTACACCCAATTTGTGGGCTGGACAATGGCCTAGCGAGCTAATGCATTAATGCTATTGGCCTTCTGTTTATATGCTTTCATGTAAGCAAAGCTGGTCCCGTGGATTGCAGCCAACTCCTTCCTACAGGTCAAGAGTTGCCTCAGCTGAAGAAAGCAGATGGGCCAGAATCTAAGAATTGCTTTGTTGTTTTTGGCTTGTTTTTTAACTTCCAGGGAAATCAGTTCAGTAATTTGGGGCCCAGGTGGTATAGTGCTGAGATTTCACATCTCCTGCTTCAGTTTAAGTTATTTATACAAGTTAGATGTCACAAAAAATCTTGTTTTTTAAAGTTAAAATGCCATAAATGGAGGCAGCACAGGACCCAAATGCATTATGTTTTTTTCCCTTCTTGTTTAAAAAGTTTATTCATTTAAAGAAAATGAGAAAGAAAAGAGTTGGGATAGGTTGGCTCTTGTCCCACCTGCGGCACCACACTGAATCCCTCTCTGTCCAATAGTGGGACGGCAGCATACCAGCCCTGCCGCTACCACCAGCACGGCCGCAATGGCACAGGAAGGTACGTTTGCTGGAGGGGGTGTTGGAGTCGCGCACTGCCAACTTCGTACTCAGGCTATTGGCATGTGGCCTGGTCTGCTTGAACCCCCCACCACCCACCTGCTGCCTGCACACTGATGGACCACTCTGAAGTGGTCATCATTGCACTGAGGCATCACGAACACACACATAGACGTATAAATAGGAAACACAGATGAAGCACAGCTCTTGACCTTTTAGTGCTGCTGCGCTTCTTGATGCTCTAATGAACAGAACTCCTCTCCAGAACTGGCTATTTAATTTCCTGCGTCGAATGCAACAACCATTTAACTGACGCCCAGCATGACCCCCTGACCTCCCTCCGACTACCCAGCTGCTACCTCGCAAAGCTCTGGTTACACACCTCTGCATTAACGCAACTGCTGCAGGTCTGATCCTCAGCAGCCCTAATCATTTAACCATTTAACCGTTTTTAAGTACAAACAGACATTCTAGCATTTACGCCATTCCTTCTAATTGATTAGTACCCGTAGTACTGATGCCCAGTCGATGCCTGCCTGTGCTCGCTGCAACCTTCCCTCCGCATGGCTCTGGCACCAGCAGCCAGCCAAGCATGTTTATGAGCGTACAGTACAGTTTGCCAAGCTGCATGGGGAGCTGGATAAACAGAATGCACAGTGTCCTGTGTGAACGAGTTTTCTTTGTCTCTTTTCTCCTGCCTGCTCTGTTGTTTCTGTGTGAACAGACAAAAAAAAAAAAAAAAAACTCAAGGCGTCAGTGTGCTTCAAACAAAGTGCTTGTAGGATCATCAGCTCATAAAACAAACTGCGCAATGCTGAAAAAAAAAAAGCTTGATAAAAGTAGAATTTATGGAAGTGCTCCTGCACTGGTCGTGTAGTTTCAGGACAGTAAAGTAACATAATGGAGAAACAGTGGAGATATAGGTCATGAAAACAAAGTAAATGTGTGTTGACGCGGTTTTAGGATAGGTAAACAACACGTAGCCTTTTACAGAAGATAGAAGCTATTTACAGGTCAGAGTTTAGCACCATGTCCATGTTGTTATTCCTGAGGTGTGCACTGGACTTCTGGAGATTTTAGAGTTTTGAACTCTGTTTGGGCACCATGGATGAAAAACGTGTAGCTACAATTCAAAACACCTCCAAAGTCCAGCAGCGCCTACTTGAATTACTTCTCTTTAAATGATAACTAACAAAGATGGGAATGACAGAAAATGCTCTCGCTCATACTACAATGCATATGCAATGGTCGCATTGGCCTTCAAAATACAACATGGCTCTTTTGCATGAGTCTAAAAAAATTAGCCGCTAGCAAAATATAGCCGCTAGTTACAGGCTGAGTTTCGCCACTGTGTCCATGTGATTATTCCTGAAGTGCACCGAGCACAGTGGGCGGATCTAGAACAGGATATCTGGAGAGTTTAGAACTTCAGTACTGTGTTTGGCAACATCAAAGACAGCCATGTAGCTAGAAATCAATGCAACTCCCAAGTCCAGCAACAACTACTTGAATTACAGCTCTTTTAAATTTTTATTCTTGTAGTTTAATCGTAGCAACTGGACTTGCTTGAGTTCCTTGAAGATGTTTCATCCAAGAGGCTTCATCAGTTCTGACTGACTAGTTGAGAGTTCCAGATACTGATATCCTTAAGGAGCCATTAACACCTGAGTTTAGGTTTCAATTGGGGGTTTGTTGCTCCTCCCCCTCGTTATGTGAGTCGTTAGTGCTCCCACTGCCACAAGGGGGTTTGTTAAGGTCTTTTGTGGCTAGATGTGGATGTGGTTTCATCTTCCTGGGGAGAGTTCTTAATTTTTTAGAAGTGGATAAGGGATAACACCCTCACACAGCAGCTAGTAATATTTGTTTTCTGACACATGCAGTTGCCGTGCACCTTGTGGACTTGGACGAATGACAAAATTAACGTCACATTAAAACTAAAATTGGACCTTTTACGAGAACAGAAATATCTCATCTGTATATATTTTACTACAGGAGCATCATATTGGCAGTTAGCTAGAATTTAAGCTTCTATCTTCACTGGCAACAAGAACCAGTTATCTGATGAGCACGCTCGATGCATGCTCGATGTCTGCATGACAGCAGGCTTTTAACCCTTTGTGCTCATTTAGGACGCTAACACTCTTGCACATGCTCAGTGCACACATCATATCTGTTTGAAGCATACTGAACCCTTTGCAGGTAAACGTCGGTCACACGACAGGGCGAGCTGCTTGCTTAAAGGCTGTTCATACAGGTAACCTAGTTGAATCAACAAGAAGATGTCTAGCCGATATGATGGAGTTCTCTATTAGATTTCTTCACTTCCTGAGCGTGAACGTTCCTACAAGCCGTGTAAAAGTGAAGAAATTGGGTTTGAATCTGCACAGATGACGTCCTGAGCTTAAAGGGTTTCTGCGCAGTTTCACACTTGTTGGGAAACGTGCTTCTCGGCACATTTTAAGACGAAGACTTTGAAGTGGATGCTGCATGCCCGACATGTTGATGAGCCACCGTCACCGCATGAACCCATCACCTCTGTGAAAATGCCTTTAACGTACACTAAAAGCCCGTCAGGTGTTCTGTGCCTGCAGCTGTCATCTTTAGTGTTCAGTTCAGATGTTGAGATGCAGATATTAAATACGTTGCTGTTTTCTCGCCCTCTTCATCGCCCTCCTTCCTTCTTTATAAATGGAAGGTAAGGGCGGATTATTGGATCGTAACTCTTTCACAAATATGAGTGTTGATGCAGTTTGTATTTACTTTGAGTCGGTGTTTGTGTGTGGACGTTTTTCTTACGTTTTCTGTCCTATCGGTGTCATTTCTCTGTGAGTTTGCTGTGTGCTCAGTTTTCAGATTCCTGTTATATCAGTGTGGTCAGTGTTGGCTTCACGTGAATCAGATCATGCTGCACTGACACAAGCTAAAGTTTCAACAAAAAGCACAAACAAGATTCTTTTGTACAGATGCAGCTCATGGGTTCAGAGAGCAGTGCGTCCATTCACATCATTCAGTAGCTTATTCATTCATTCATCCATTCATGTTTACTTCCTGAACGCCTTCAGAAGGAAGAACCGTCTGAACACTGAACCAGGATCAGTCTATCTTTTTATAGTCGTCCTGCTGAACTGTGCTGTCTACTGTATGACACTGAGCCACGACTGCTTTTAGTATTTTTTTGTTGTTGTTGTTGTTGTTTTCCTCCTGCTTTTGGTGTTTGTTGTTTTAATTGCTGGACAGTTGAAGGATGATTTGAACCCCACAAAATCAGTTACAATAGAAATACTAAGCTTATTTGTTGCTCTACAACCAGACATGCATGTGGAGTAAAACATGTTCAAAAGAAAGAAATAAAAAAGAAATTTGATCAAATGTAAATGAAAGAAAAACCAGAAAATTGAATGAAATTAGCTTAAATTTAAAATTACAATCGTAAATAGAACGATGATGATGAAAACATAACTAGGAAAGCTTTATTATTCCTGATTTTTTATCATTTTAGTTTTTTTATTCTGAGCTGTAGTGCCTCTAAATCTCCAATGTTTTTACTGTTAATGTTTTAATGTTGGCCAGGACGCCCTTGTAAAAGAGGTTTTTGATCTCAATGGGTCTTTCCTGGTTAAATAAAGGTTAAATAAAATAAAAATTAAAGGAAAAAATGTATGAAGTTAAGCATGAATGAAAATACTCATGGTCAAAAATCTGAAGTTCCAAGCCAAAATCATCAGACAGTTCATGAAAATGTTGATTTACTAACATTTTTAGCGAATATCTTTTACCTACTATCTCATTATTTTACTTACTAATGCAGGATTTTTACATATATGCATCATATATATAATTAAGTATAATTCTGACTTATCATCTAATAGTTTTACACTCTTATCTTTTTTTACTGAACTATATTATAATTACAACTTTCCATTAGATCATTTTACATTATTGAATTTAAATTTTTACTAAATATGTAAGTAAAATTTCGACTCATTTTTTTTTAGTTTCATCTAATTTATTTATTTTTTTTGGCATAAATGAGCTTCCATAAAAACAAAGACAACGTGCTGTAAGGAAATAGCAGGAGCTGTGATTGTTATTGGGCTCCATCTTAATTTATTTTTTACCGCTTTAAAGAGTTTAACCCTTTAATTAGCTAAATTTTACCCAGTGTTGCAGAAAGTACACATTTTAGTCAGGATTGTTAAACATGTTTTAGTCTGTAATAGCGATCAGCTGTTGTTTTTCTACGTCCTCACTGTCTTTTCTCACTTTTTTTCAGCATGCAAAACCTTACTAAACAAAAAGTCGGATGGCGTGAAGGTAAGTTCTCAGACCCGTGAGGGTTTTCTTTATTTTTATTTTTACATATTTTCTCTACTCTTCCTGTCTTCTTTTAACTCCCTCTTGTTGTGTCACCCTAACTACTGTCTAATATCTGTGATATTACAAGCACACAGAGAGGCAGTATGATGCTCTTTAATTTGGATTACCTTTGTGCTCTGGTGCTCCGTGTTTAGTTTTTCTAAGGTCTGTTAAATGCGATTTAAAGATTTTTTGTGGCTTCGGGGAAAGGATTGATCTTAAAAATGAAGCAGGTGCTTGATCATGTTTATGAGTTAGCAGATAAAGGTGACACAGATTTGAGATTAAAGTGAAAGTAAGGAACATAATAAAGAGCAACAACCTTTTTTTTTTAAAAATAAAATGCTGTTTGTTTTGTTGCCACCAGTTCTTTCTTTGACTCGCAGGGATTTTGTTTGAACCGACAGTCAGCGTCCATGCATGCAGTGAAGCGCCACGACCGACGAGGGCCAAACCAAAATACACACAGTAGCTTAAACCATAACTAAATACCCCCCAAATATATCTATACAAATAAACTGCACAACCAGGGATTTAACTATGAGTTCTTTAAAAATTAACCCCCTATGTTTTTTTGCAGCTGATTCTCTTTTTCCTCTGAAGCCTTCTCAGTATCCCTTTGTCTCATCTCTGTTCCTGTGTGAGCTTCTGCAGCTGTTTTGTTTTTTCTCTCTTTCTGGGATCAATCTGGCAGCGTCACTTTTTTTGCTGTTTTGATCAGTTCCTTGTTTCCCGATGACCCCTTATTTTTATTTTTTATTTTTCCTCCTCCTTTCCATTGCTGTCTGTCAGAAAAGGAAGTCCAGCTCGAGTGTTTGTTTGATGGTGAGATCAGCTCTGTCGTTTTCGTTCATTTTTCATTCCTCGTCTCTCTTTACTGGTCTTTTCTCCCCTCCGGTCTTCCCCTTATATCTCTTTCATTTTTTTTTTTAATTTTGATTTTGGGCAGAGGTGATTTATGCGTCGTTCCTGTTGGATTTCCCTACTTCATCCAACATGCCTCCATCCCCTTCGACCATAAGCGCCACCAAAACCATTCGCCTCGTTACAGACAACACAAACGCGACATGTCTGACTCGACCGCCCATCGACTAAATCCGGCCTTTTCACTTCATCCCCGACCATCGCAGGAGGGAGCGACATTTTTAATCACTGCAAACATCGATATACAACCATGTTCCTTTTTTATTTTCCCTTTTGACATATTTATTGTGCCCTCATAACTCTTCATTTGAATGAATTCTTCTTTTTTCCCCCCTTTTCCTATAAATTAAACAGCTGTCTTGGTCACCTGCAGATAATCATTAAACTAGAGACAGTTCAGGTCCAGAAGTGGTTAATATAGGGGTTTTTTTTGTTTGTTTTTTGGCTGCTTCGATGAATTTTCTAATTCAAACTGGTTTAAATTGTTACTTACTCGCTAGAAAACACTTAAAAACATAGTGCAGGCCTATAAATAGTAGATTCAGGTATTCATACAGTACAATAGCTAATAATTTCTTTTTTTTTTTTTTATTAGGATATCTTGCTGGAAGAAATAGAGACCTGTTTTTTTTCCCCTACATGCACCAAATTGAATACAGTTTGTACATACTTCAGTTTCAAATATAAACAGCCTGAACATTTTCTATTCCCCAAAAAACACTTTTTTTGGAGCTAGTTTAAAAAAATCTCAAGTTTTTACATCTAAGTCTGCAGTTTGGATTTGGGATATTTGAGTTTTTTCTTATTGAAACTACGCTCCAGTACTTTCAGCAGCACAGAAACTCTCTGGTATTTTATTTCTGGAGTTAATAAATACAGTAAAAGAGAGAAAACAACAAAATTCCCCGTCAAATCAGGACCATTCAGTCTCCTCAAAGAGTTCATTCTGGTGCTGTAAGACCAAACAACGTAGTACCTGCTGACGCCCAACTGATTAGGATTTTGGTAAAATCTCTATATTTCAACATTTTGAAAGTTCAAATGTTTATGATTAACTAAAGAAGTTTCCTTAGCAGCCCTGGAACACAGTGAAAGCCTGTTTTTTTCTGTTAGAAGATGTTCCTAGTGGGCCACAGGCGCTGCCAAAACACTGTTTCACGAGTCACGCTGAGGTATTTGCTCATCTCGGAGTTGTAGGAAAACAGCTGAAACCCCCCCAGCACTTAGCTCTTAACCTTTTATTGACGTAATCCGTTCGTCCACACCTCTAAACTTTCCTGTGGGAATATTTGCATTCTCCTTTCCATCCAGTTAGCCCGAGGCTGAAGGGAGAGTCCAGCGCAAACTGTGTTTTCTTGTTCACATCTCAGCGTTAATCTGCAGCTGCAGCCGAACTTACAGCTCCGTCGTGTAGCAGCACAACGAGTTCATGTGGCCTGGAGGTCCCAAAATCAGATAAGAAACAGAAAGAAGACGGGTTGGAGGGAGGAAACAATGGAATTTAAGGGGTTTTCGCTTTCATGAAACTGGGTGCGACAGATATAAAGGAAGGAAAGTGAAGCAACAGAGGCCAAAAGAAGCACCAGCTCTTCCCTATAATATAGACAATACACCTGTTTATGACACCGTCTGCCCCACGACATAATGGTTTGAACAATGATGGAACAGTTTCAGACTAACCGTGATTAGAAAACTGGACTCTTACTGCTTATTTCTCGTGATTATTGTTCACACAGACCAATGTTTGTATAGTTTTGCTAAAAGTATTGCATTCATTATAGAAATCACCATAAAAAGTTAGAAACAATTCATTCCTATTGACTAAAACACATACTAACACATACAAATACTTCTTTATACCTTGAAATTTACCTAAAATTAATTCCTTTCCTGGTTGATTAAATGAATGTGGCAGCCCACTTATTTTATAGCTTAATTAAACTTCTATTGTAGCTCAGCAGGATGAACTCAGAGAAATGGTAATTCAGTTAAAACTATTCTGTAAATAAACTTTTCAGGATTTAGTTCCAACCACAGTCTTACTTTGTTGATCTGTCAAAGCCATAAACAGGATCTCTTAAAGCCAAAGGGACAAACTGAGCAGTTTCATCAATGCTAAAGTAGTTTAGTGGCTAAAGTAGGCTTTAGTGCTTCGTTAGCATGAGCTAAAACAAATGAAACAACAATATAAAGTTCCTACCTCCATGCATGGCTCTCAATCAGAGGAAACCCTTTCACCAAGGCCTTTCACTGCATGCACAGACCTGGACTGGCAGTCATTCTAACCTGATTTTCTGAATCATTTTTTTCTAATTTCTGGCTTTGTTGCTACCAGAAATGGACGACCAATTAGTTGAGCGCCTTTTAGACACAAACTTATTTCTCTTTTTAACCCCAGCAGATGCCACTTTACTGATTTTTATTTATTACTTTTTTGAAGCTGGGGAAATAAATCCAGCCTGAAAATATGTTTATTGTTTAAAAATGCATGTTCTAACTAACTGTTATGTTGTTTTTCCCCCTTTTTTTGAAACTGTTGTAGCGTCTGCAAACACTGCAGACGTCTAATGCAGGCGTAAAGCAATATATAGCTGCAGAAACTAGTAGAGTCAGTTAAAAGTGTTCGGAAGTCGGTACGCTGACATTTCCACGTGCATCTGTTTCTACAAGTTTCTGGTCAAAAGAAATGGATTAAAGGATTTAATTGGAAGCTGTGTACACAACAGACGCGCAGAACGATACAACAACTGCCCTTTAAAATGCACAAAGCAGCCAGCTGCAGAGGATTTCCAGAGATATTCAGATAAATCTGTTTAGCATTTAACTCCCAGATCGCGCTGCTTCAAATCGCTCACAGTATGCCGAGTATTTCTATCGGCCGTGTAATGGCTCTATTCCTGTTTTCCACCTGTGATTCCCACAGGAGGGGTTTATGGTTTAGACCCAGTGGGAATCACCCTGTGTTGTGTTTCTTTGCCCCAGTCGCAGGGAAACAACAGTAAAAACAGTGTAGTAAGCAGCAGCAGCACCAAAGACAGCAGCATGTCATCTTCAGCTCCAATGGTACCTCATCTTCTCTATTTGGTTTCTCTCACGTTGCTTTTTATGGCATCATTTCCATCGTTTTTGATGTTTAGTTCTGTCCCTCCCCTTCCTCCTTCATGTTTTTGTCACAAGCAAAAATACTTTCTGCACTCCGTCCTCTGTCTCGTCCATCACCCTCTGCCTCTTTTTGCTTCTGTTCTGGAACACAAATTGTGATGTTGGCGGTGAATTTGACGACTTTAAAACTGAACGACCGGTCCGGGCCTCCGAGTGTCTCTTTCCCCGGCTTGTGTTTTACCCGAAGCCTCCTGTGGACGCGCTCATATTTACGCGGCGCTGACAGGTAGACGAATGACTTTCATTTTGCGGCGCAACAGCAGCAGCTTCAATCAAGTTGTGCTCAGCCACATCCCGGCGACTCCTCTGTGTGTTCAGCGGCGTCACCTGGGCTTTGTCAAAGTGGGGGGTTATTACAATTTCAGAGGCTGAACATCGACTACATCAAAAGATGGCCTTTTACAAATTGCTCTTGAATTAGCTAATGGTGAACGAGGAGGACTTCTGGGTAAAACAGGAGCTGGAGTGGACGAGTGACAGACGGATCATAAGTGCATGAGGACGCAGCCCCGGTGTTCATTAAACGTAATGGGATTGAGGCGTTTATAGCAGAGCGTTAAAGAGGCTCGTCTCAGGTTAGAAATGTGGAAAATATGGCATCATGAAAATGTTCAATTTGGAGAAAGTCAAACCTTTATTTCACCACCATGTGGCCGGTTGCATTTTTTAGATCTCATTATACACTTTTCAAACTATGTGACTGACATTTCTGCTTTAAAGGTTGAAGGACAAAGTAAAAGTGACTGAAGTGATTAAGATCTTTGACTCAAAATTATGCTCAAACAACCGTCTGCAGAACTGATGGCTCAATATACAAAATTGTTAAATCCCGGCCAGATACAACCGCCTCGGAAATGACTAATTACTAAATATCTGATTTAGTTCTGACAGTTTAAGGGAATACTTTTGGGAAAGTTGACCACTACTCTAATGTTAAATATTGACCACAAGCCAGGAGGCGATTAGCCTAGCTTAGCATAAGGCTGAAAGCAGGGGACAACAGCTTCATAACAAAATCCACCTATCACCACCTCTAACTAATTTAGCTCTTGGAGGCTTCTGGAAGTTACTGCTCCTGCAAATATCATCCCATAAAACCTCAGTTTGGCTTTTTAAACTTTTGGAGATGGAAGAAACAAGATGTTGAGCTTTAGAGGTGCTGACGGGTCGATTTTGTTAACTTTAAACACGAATAAGACAGTTGTAACCTCTCTTTCTTTAGCCTTTGTGCTAAGCTAAGCTAACTAGCTGCTAGCGGCTTCATATTTACAGACATGATAGTCTTCTCAGAAATCTGCAGGAAACTCTTCACAATGCTATTCTTAACACAATATCAATCCCAAACTGAATTTCACATTCCTGGGACAAGTCTGTTACTTTATGGCTTCCAATCAGAGACTCATGTCGACCACCGTAAAGGCCTCAAATGCCTCAAATTCACAATCCTCCACAATCCCATACGTAACTGAAGGGGCTGCATGCTCTGAGGTTTTGTCCAGTGTGGCTCGAGTTGAGGAGCGTGTGACTGACTGACTAAACCAGTTCAACTGTGGGTGTGTTTTCTAAACTGTGCAGCACCTGGAGCTCTTGACTCGCTTTGTGCTGAGTGTTTCTGTGGAAGGGTCGTGGCTGGGGATGAGGAGCAGCTACACAAACACACAACATGGACAATGCTTAGAGACAAGAAGGATCAACCTGAACATAATTTAAAATGTTAGATAATTTGATAATAAGAGCCAGTGTGCATTTACTGGCTCAGCATTAAAGTCACTGC